GTTAGGGTAACTGATGGTAACTTTTTGTATAGAGTTTTCTTCAATTTACTCCACTAGACTTCACCCACAGTCCAAAAATATGCTGATGGCCAATTGATCAGTCTTTGTTTGTCTATGATGAGCTAAATCTGTTAAAATTGTTATTTTGGGAACATTGACTACTTTGTTTTATTTCTGAAATCTGTGAGAATTAAATGTCTTCAAGTTTCAGAGAGACAAAGTTGAAAATGGCTGCTGAATTGAAAGCACATTAATTCTGATGCTGTTAATGCAGAAGTAAAAGTGAAGTGTGTTTGACAGAAGCAGTGACTCAGCATCTTTATTGATCAAGCACAGCATTTTTCTCCATCTAATGTCCCCCTCTTTTTCCCCCAGATTCTGCCTGCTCTCTGTGTGCTGATCCACCACACCGACGTCAGCGTGAGTATGCGGGACCTGGGGCCGGTGATTGTCTGGTTCTGAGATCTTTGTTCCTAAATCATCAAATGTCAGAGGAATACCAATTTAATCTAATTAATTGCAGGATAGTCCTGGATTAATCGCGATTGAGTTAAATCCACATTCCTAATTATGACAAACCTTCTGTTTATTGCTGTAACAGAAAAACATCAGCCGGTAGATGTCACACCTGTTTTTATTTGTAATGGATCCATTTTATTTGTAAATAACAACATAGGTATTGATGAGCGTAGATTGTAAATACTATGTTAATTCTTGACATAAAATTCTGTAATAAATAATATAGATTATATATAAATATAATAATTTCAATAATAAAATTCTGGTTTAAAAAAAGGGGAATTTTTAAGTTTTGAAACTTTGATGTCCAATGAGACAAATTTGTTGTTTGGGATATGCAAATAAAATTGGCTTGACTTTTTCATCAAAACATTTGTTTTTTTGGCTCTTCAGATCCTGGTGGACACAGTGTGGGCACTGTCCTACCTGACCGACGCTGGTAATGAGCAGATCCAGATGGTCATTGACTCTGGCATCGTCCCTTACCTGGTCCCTCTGCTCAGTCACCAGGAGGTCAAAGTTCAGGTATTGAAACAACTCTGTGTGAACACAGCACCATTTACACTGTGACCCACAAAAGAAGATGACCTGAGGGGAGGTTATAGGGTTCTATTCTGTTTTAACAATTGGTATTGAGTGCGTAGAAAAAGATTGTTGTTAGTAACTGTTGGATTGAAAAAACATAAATGTCATCTCACACAGACTGCTGCCCTGAGAGCTGTTGGGAACATAGTGACTGGTACTGATGAACAGACCCAGGTGGTTCTTAACTGTGACACCCTGAGCCACTTCCCTGCCCTCCTCACTCACCCCAAGGAGAAAATTAACAAGGTAATCCATGTGATGCACATCTCCTCCACTTATATACACACGCTCTGTGGCTTTTACACACACAAAATAATTGGTTCAGCGACTGCAGTTTTTTGGAAGTGATGAAATCAGAGACTCTGTGCTTGTGTGAATGCTGTGTGTGTGGTAATAGATGAGACAGATGGCTAACTGCAGAAACGAGGAGCTGTGAAGACCACAAAGAAGATCCCAGCGGCTGGAGTAGCTGTAGTTAGGCAGGATGAGGGGGTTGGGTGGGTGGGTGGTGGGGGGTGTTAAAATGGCGCGTGTCTGTTATTGAATGTGTGATTCTCTGGGTTGGTGGCTAAAGGGTGCAGAGACCTTGTGTCCCTGTTGATATTGGAGTGCATCTGAGACAGGTCACTGAAAAAAAAGGGGCCTCTTTAGTGACCCGTACGATGATTAGAGCCCCACGAATCGCCCAGGCCCCACCCACACAGCACTTGGTCTCGACCAGAGGTCAAGCCTTTCTGAGCTGACCTCTGGGTTCTGATCCAGCTTAAAAACAGTCATTAATACAAACAGAAAAAGGTGGGAATTGAGAACCGGTTCTCTTTGAGAACTTGTTGTTCACAAACACACCTGAACACCTTGTTCATCAATTCCACAAATGCATTTTAATGTGGTGACTTTCTTAAAGCCTGGACAATTGTCCATTCATTTTTCATTCTTGTGCATAAATATTGTTGGTGTCTTTGTTGTCCTGCAGGAGGCGGTGTGGTTCTTGTCCAACATCACAGCAGGCAACCAACAGCAGGTGCAAGCTGTCATTGATGCCAAGCTCGTCCCCATGATCATTCATCTCCTGGACAAGGTTTGTATCTGTTCCATTTGGGGGTCTGTCTTCACTGATGGGTGTGTGTTCTCAGGTGTTTTGGGGTTTTTTTTTGTTTGTGCTTAAACATTCGTTCTTTCCTCTTTATTTCAGGGTGACTTTGGAACTCAGAAGGAAGCTGCTTGGGCCATCAGTAACCTGACAATAAGTGGCAGGAAAGATCAAGTAAGATTTCTTTTCTTTTTTTTAAAGATTTCACCTGAGAGAGAGTGTGTAGAATCTTTAAACAAAATGTACTTGGCTACAAGTGTTGTTCTTAGAACTGGATGGACCAACGTTGTTCACACAAATGGCAGTAGTTTTACCAGAATCAGCAGAAAATAACCACTGCCATTAATAATGAAACAGATTTTGTCTTTATTTATCTGTCAAGAGGGATTTGGAATTTTTTATAAGAGGGGGAAAAAAAGCCCTCATAGCTTTATGACTCATTGGCTTCCCCTTGTCTGTAGGTGGCGCACCTTATTGAGAAGCAGGTGATCCCTCCGTTCTGTAACCTGCTCACTGTTAAAGACGCTCAGGTGGTTCAGGTCGTCCTCGACGGTCTTAGCAACATCCTGAAGATGGCCGACGATGAAGCGGAAACTATCGCTAACCTCATTGAAGAGTGTGGAGGTGAGATCCCTGTTTGTTTATTTCCACTCTGGCCACAACACAGTAACTGTGATAGTGACTTTTTTTCTAAACTTTTTCTCTCACAGGCTTAGAAAAGGTGGAGCAACTCCAGAACCATGAAAATGAAGACATCTACAAATTAGCTTATGAAATTATTGATCAGTTCTTCTCATCTGATGATGTGAGTTGTATTTATGATCATAATAGATTTAGTTCTTGTTTACAGACATTTTCTCATTATATAAAAGCATTATATGTCGATTAGACATTAGACATTCAAGTACTGCTGAGTATTTTAGCTTAACAAGTGTTTTAGTCACAGTTACTTCCTGTGTCATTAATGCTGTGTCGACCTGATTGACATTCAGATTGATGAAGACACCAGCCTGGTCCCAGAGTCCATCCAGGGCGGAACTTACGGCTTTAACTCCGCCAACGTGCCAGCAGAGGGATTCCAGTTCTAGACGACATCTGGGGTATTCTGGAGTTTTGTTTACGATGCAGCACTCTGTTCAACATAAAAAAAATTAGGAGAGAAAGAGCGAGAGAGAGCGAGAGTGTGAGAAATTTGATCCATTGTGCTTAGCTCGTGGGATCCATGGCTGCATCTTATCTGAGAGAAAAATGTGTGGATTTCATTTGGCATTCCAGAGGAACCAGTCCAAATGAAGTTTGAGATGGCGAGTGGGTGCGAGTGAGAATGAGTGGCTACATGTTGCAAAAAAAAGCAAAACATCTACATCAAATGTGTTGAGAGACGTGCCGACATAACTTCTGTGTTATTGGAGCTGTCGTCTTCGGAATACTACTTCAAATGACAACAAAAAAAAACTTGATGTTTGCCTGGGGAGATCCAAAGACATCCAAAAGTAACAAATCACACAAATGAATAGAACGTTATAATTATCAACTGAGATGAACCTCAAACCATCACAAATCTGCGGTCCACCGACTAGAGAGGGCGCCATCCTCGACGTGCCCCTCCAACCAATCGGCCACGCTATCAGACATGTGTGTGAATGGACCCATTGTGTATGAATGACTGGACTCAGTACAGAGGAGCCAGGTTCATCTCCTCCAACAAGATGCCCCGATTGGGGCACCACCCTCTCCCCCTGGCGGGTGAGGTCGGAGTCCAGCTGCGCGTGTCGCATGTGCGAGAGAATGGACGGATGAGTTGTGTGTGCTTGGCTGCGTGCGTGACTGGGAGAATGCAAGGCTGGGTGAGAACGCATGCAGAGATGGAGAAAAAGAAACAAATACAACATCTGGAGAGAAATGAAAATGAGAAACGCAACAATGAGGTCATCAAAGGTGTCAGGCCTTTGGATGAAAAAGGCTAATCCTCTATATATCCCTAAAAGGAAGAACTTTGGATATGAAAACAAATCGTCATCACAAGGATTATATTTTTGTTTTGAGTTAATGTTATGTTAGTATTAATTGACACTGGACAATGCAGTTGGCACGAGTGGAGCAGCAGTGCATTGTATGAAGATGCATTTGGTGGCTTTTTGGGCTTTTTCTTTGCCTCCAGTGTGTTCCCTTTTATGATACTTTTTTTTTTTAGTTTCAGCTTTTAGTTTCATTGCTTCTGTAACAGTGATTGATGACCATCATATTCCATCCTCACAACTGAACCTACATACCAGTCATGGGCTTGATGCTGTGAAATTCAGAAACAACACTATAATTAACCAAATGACACCGTGATCCCCCTGCCCCGACTCCCTTCCTCCCCCCGATACTGAATCGTTTGCCCTTCAATTTTACAGCAAAAATCACTGCTTTGCAGTACTGTTGCCATAGCTTTGAATTATCATCGAGAGAAGAACAACAGCCATGTCATGTAGGATTGTGAATCATAACCTTTGCATGTACTAAACTATAGCACAGTTACTTTTTTTTTAGGACATTTTAGTTTTCATAGGCTGTGGATACAGTGTAATTTTCATTTTAAGTAAAACTGTGCTTAAATGTTACATGTTACTACCCCCAACCCCTCCCCCTTAACTTGTGTCCTATTTGATAATTAATCTTTAAGGGTTTGCACATGTATCGCAAAAGTGAGGCCTGACGTCTTTCTGAAGGCGTGTTGGTCAGTTTCAGAGGTCTGGACCTGCCAACAGCCTCCACAGTAATACGCATCACTCTACCACAATCTTTGTAGTACTCCTAGAGTAATCCTATGATGCTTTCTAGCGATACTTGAGAGAATAATGAGTCAGATTTCGGGAACGGTAGCGACAAATCTGCTAAACTATCTCATAGATTAGAGGGGGATGCTAACCTCCCTTTTCTTGGGAGGTGAAAGGAGGCGCGAGTTGTCCTGAATGGGTCCTTCTGAATAATTAATAAACCCATGAACAAGTTTGCTGTACATGTAGTACCTTACCGTCTATAGCCCCACTCCTCCCGTCCCCCTTCTACCAGCTAGATGTAAGAGCTTACCCTTTTCCATTTTTGTGTTAAACTCCAAACACTGTAGTAAATGATTACACTTTGTGCTCATAAACCTTCTGTTGAACATAGGGGTATATATTTTTTGCAGCATTCCTTGTTAGCATACATGTGGTTTCAAATCTAAGATTATTAAATGGAAGAGAAAAAAGGTGGTTTGCCCAAAAGGAAAGTTTTTGGGGAGATAGGCTACACCTAATAGGTTGTCTTCAAAAATAAATAGTGAAACCAAAACCATGTGCCTGTATGTGTGTGCTCTGTGATGGTGTGGTGTGTGATTAATAACCGAATTTCTATTGTTTTATTTTGAAAGAGTTGAACAGCTGTGACGTCGTTGTTTTTCTCCTAACGGTTGACGTTGAATTCGAATGAAAAATGGGGATCTTGATTGGACAGGCAAACCGTTTTTACGCATGCGTATGACGAAATGTGAATACGACGCATTTAAAGACGGTCCTTAAAGGGACATCTATTCCACTCCAAAACGTATCAAGTTTTCCCGAATTTTCTCTAGACATTGTTTTTAACTGTATCTCAAAGAACCGTATGAGCTGAGTCACGAACGACGAACAGTTGACATGTTCGTATTTGTACGTAAAGGCCCAGTTATTAACGCTCCCCCGTCTTTCTTTTGAGAGTAACTTATTTTCCGAGTGTATTTGAACACATCATGACAAGGAACAGGAAATGACAGCTGTGTTAGGGCGAGATGCGTTTTTACTTCTAGCAGACGGTGAGTTAAAAAAAAAACAGCATTTTGTTTTTTTTAAATGTAAGTTTTACTGACCGAATGTGAAAAGACAACATTGACGATGTGTAGTTAATTATAACTATTACAGCAAAGCAGTAATGTTTTCGGCGTAATAGTCTGGAGAATTTGGAAGTGTAGAGTTAGTTATGCCAGTGTAGCCAGGTTATTTCTAATTTTTTCCATCGCAAATAAAACAACAGCGTCTTTTATTCACAAACAAAAATGGCCCGGTTTGCTCTTTGTAGTTTCTAAATGAAAATATGTTCGATGGTATATTGGCATTCATGACCGCAGTACTTATTGTGATAATTTATTGTGTTTATCGTATATTTAACCAATGTATTTTAGCAGGAAAATACATAGCATAGAATGGTTAGCATTCCAGAGTGGAACTAAATATAGTGTCCACTGTCGACCATAGGCTTTCTGTTCCATTAAAAACTTTAGAACAACAGTGATTAAAAAACTGTTAGTTCAAGTATTATGTTTCATTACTCTGTCTACCATCCATATATTTAATAAGCTACGTTTTTATCAAAAAAGGTATTATTTTTACAGCTTAATAGATGGAAGCTGACTACTGTCTGTGAGTTTACACTGTCTATTGTCTGCAGTACAGACTGTAACAGGAGGAGGACATCCACACACGTTACATGACCTGTAACAGGAGCCAGACCTTTAGTCAGATGCAGCTACTGTCAGTTTAGTACTGTACATCACCTGTCACACACTGACACAGTGATGTTGTGTGTTTGCTTTTTAATTTTTTAGGTAACAAAGTTTCTTTTTGCATTGGAAAGACTGTTTAAACAGTATGTCCAACAACAGTGTATGACAAGTCCAAACATTTAGGAAGTGTCTCTCGGCTCAGTCCATCCTGGTCGACCTCTTGGAGACACGTTATTGAGCTGAACTGATGTAATCAATAATGAAATAAATCTTTTTGTTGTGCTTGACTGTGACAGTGAGTCACGACTGAAGGGAATGATGTAAATCCTAATGTAATTACCGACTGTCCCACTGTTTTAACTCTTGTCTTTTGGATGTTGAAGGAGTCGATGTGTTTTTGCTGAACAGGTGCAACACATTCAGTTCTTCAGCCAGTCCACACCTGGTCCCTTGTCTCCAGCATGGACATCTTAGAGGAGGACCTGACCTGTTCTGTTTGCTACTCTCTGTTCTCTGACCCTCGAGTGCTGCCGTGTTCACACACCTTCTGCAAGAGCTGCTTGGACAGCCTGCTCCAGACATCCACAAACTACTCCATCTGGCGTCCACTCCGCATGCCACTGAAATGCCCCAACTGTCGCAGCGTGGTAGAGCTGCCACCATCGGGCGTGGATGCCCTGCCCACCAACGTGTCCCTGCGAGCCATCATTGAGAAAGTAGGAGATGAAAACCTTTGTTCAGCTGAGACATGGTGTCAGAGTGAAATCCTGTGGTTCAGCTGTGTGTCTTCACTCACTGTCTTAGTACCAGAGGGACAGCGAGCCCCGCCCCCCCTCCTGCCCCGAGCACAACAGGCAGCCACTGAACATGTACTGCGTGAAGGATCGAACGTTGATCTGCGGCCTGTGTCTGACCACGGGAGAGCACCAGGGCCATCCCATAGACGACCTGCAGGCGGCGTTCATCCGAGAAAAACAGACGCCCACCTCGCTGCTCTCCCGACTCTCTGAGCACAGATGGGCGCAGGTGAGAATCCCTTCAACGTGTGTGCAGTAAAATAAAAACAGATGCAGGTGTGATGACTGTCCCTCACCCCCTCACCCCTGACCCCCACCCCTCCTCTGGTCCTTCTACAGGTGTGTGAACTAGCAGAGCAGCTGGAGCAGGAGAAGACTCGCTGTGAAGGCGTGGTGAGGCAGAACAAACAGGAAGTGAACCAGTTCTTTCAGACACTGGAGGCAGCGTTGGCCAAGAAGAAACAAGCCTTCCTGGAGGCGTTGGATAAGGCTGCCACAGACGTGTCCCGAGCCTATGACCCACTAATCCACCGAGTGAAAGAACTCCAGGTGGGACTGACCCGCTGTCACATTGTGACATTTTTAAAATATACAATGTTAACATTAGTAAAAATAATAGAATGTTTTTGACTTACCATAATACTTGGTATATCTAACTTGGTTACTCATGATTAATTAATCCACATTTACCCTGTAAATAATCATATTAAAAATGCATTCATCTGTCAGCCCAAGTTCATATGAGAGTATTCACTGCGGGTTGTAGCTATTGTTGACGTTGACAACTGTTGCTCTGGAAACACTGTTGTTCTGTCAGGAGGAGCAGCTGGACCTGGTGTCCCTGGGTTCATCAGTGGAGGAGGAGGAGTCGCCGCTGCTCTTCCTGGAGAAGGTGCATTTGTTCCGAGAGCGGGTGGATGACTTCATCAACACTCCACTGCCCTCCGTCATCAACCTGTCCATCAGTCCACGGGCGGCCGAGTACCTGCAGCAGCACTGGTCTGCCGTTACCATCGGCACCCTGGACCAAGCCCCCGTTCCCAAAGTGAGTTGCTGCTCCAGATGCGGCGGCACTGAGACGGGGGGCGAACGGGCCGATGGCCAGGCTGGGCACGTGGGCTGTGAGCCGCAGCCCACCTTTGGTGCAGCACTGTGTGGGCTGCTGCTGCTGCTGATGCTGCTGCTGGGAGCAGCCCTCTGGATGAACCCAGTGGGCGGGGCTTCGCTGGGCTTCTCCCTGCTCTCTCACCTCAGTCAGCTGCTCCACTGCCTGAACTGTGACCTCATCACACCGATGTGGGACCTGCTGGTGTCGCTAAAGGCAGTGACGGAGGCTGCTGTGGACAGGTGGAGGGCCCAGCTCTCTGCCGCCGTGGAAACAGCCTTTCAGCAGCTGACGGCTGTGATCAACGCTCAGCTCTGACTGGACGCTGAGGAGAACACAAACAATTCAACAGTCGAGTGATGTGACTGACGGCTGTTACAGTGACAGAACCGGAGACTGTTGGAGAACAACGACACACTATTTACACCTAAGCATTTACCCACAATGCACTGCAGGTCATGCCTGTGTGTTTTGAAGTCCCTTCAGTTTAGCGTCAGGGTTTGGTCTTATTCAGATTAATGACAACTGCAGTGGAATTAACACCAACATGTTTCCAACATGGACACAGTTTGACACCTGGTAAATGTGTTAGAAAATTCAAGTCAAAGGACTGAGTTTGGAGAAAATATATCTTTAAGAAGAAGTTTAAATCAACAAGGTGTGAAATGTCATGTTGTTTAAATAATTTTGCACCATTAAGCCTATTAGTTAAAGGGTTGGGCTTGTAGTTGAAGGGTTACAGGTTCAGATCCTAGCTCTCCTGGGTGTACTGAAGAGCAGACCACAGTGTTCAACATATATTATGGTCTGTTGTCATATTGATGACCGCTCAGACCTTTACACCATGTACCATAGTTGGACTTCTTGGTCCCAGCCCTGTACCTCTGACTTTTTTATTACATATCAAGGACTGAGCTCTCCTTTATTCTCGTCACACTCCCTACTTAATTATGTCATCAACAAAACTACCACATTTTCTTAGGAAACACTGAAGTCTCCCAACAGACAGAAATACAGAATAATCTGTTTGAACTCATATTTCACAGAATCTTTGTGACCTTTTTATACATTTAAATATTCTGTCTGTACTGTGGGAATAAATGTGTTTATATATCAGTCCCTCTCATTCTATCTGTACCAGAAAGCAGCTAGCAGAACCAGTCGTCATCGTACCGTGTTTGCACTAGTGTAAAATACACAATGGTATTGTCCAAGCGGTCACATTACCACAGACCGAAGGCTACTTTATGCTTAACTCCTAAATACACATATAGACGTGTTAGTTGCGTGTGTTATTTGGTATGTTTTCGGAAAGCTTTTGATGTAATGGCCAAAGCATGAAACAGAGCAGTACCGCTGGAAATCATGAGGGGCAGTGTTGCGCAGTAGAAAACTGTCCATCCTTAAAGGGAACTTCCAGTGTTAATTTTGTTTAAGGCATGCATTGAGGTATTTAACCTTATAACGTTAACGTTGTAACGAGTGGTTCATACCTGTTCTCTCCGTGTGTAGGTGTTCTTCAGGTTAACTGTTAGTCCAAACTGACTACAGGTGTGACTGTGTATGATTGTTTCTCATTTGCCTGAACAGATAACCACTGGATTATTTTTCAGGCATTAGAACAATAATATATAGTGTTATTGGTTAACACATCATATTTAAAGGTCAATGTTTTTTCATCCAGGATATATAACATATATATACTCATACATAATCTCTTTTGGTCTTTAATAATACATTTAATTTGTATGTTTCAAAAGAATGTATATATTCTTGCAAAATGAACACAATATTTATAAATATATATATATATATATACATGCATAAATACATATATACACATATACCTCTAAAATATCCTCTAAAAAGTTGGTGACCTCAGGTTGAGAAACTGCTCTTTATAAATCTTGTTAATTCTCTCCACTCAGACCAGAGCTTCAGTTTCTTCTGATGAAAAGTACCTGCGCACAACACAGCCACCAACAGGCTCCACAGTGAGTATGTTGTTTATTATGATATTTGTTTTTGTTTTTTTGCTGAACATACTTTTATAGAAACTGAATGTAGGATTCCCTGTGCCAGGGTCTGTTTGAATCATCGTGTCATATCCTGGTTTAACACGTATCAAAAAATCTGCCATGTCAACAGAGACTCGTCAACCACAGTTCATCAAAGTCAAACCAGGCACTTTCAGGTGTGGGTGCCGTCATATTAACGATCACAAGAACGACAGGAAACTTTAAGAAGACATTTATTGATTCATAGAGTAAAAGATAGCAGCATGTAGTTGATAGAAGAGACAAACATTTACACAAACAGAATATATACATCTGTGAGAAAAGGAAAAAATAAAAACCCAGGTTTCTTCAGTCCTAAGCTGTGACAGCCTGCTGCGCCTTCAAAACAATGGTTTTGGGGTTGATTCCCACATTCTTGGTGGTGTTGTGAGTCTTGTAGATGCCGATGAGGCGATCTGCAATCTCGAACATGTTGTTCCTCAGAGAGATGATGATGAACTGAGCATTCTTTGTTTGTTCCTGCACAGACAGGAGGAGGAGGAAAATGACAATATGAGTTTAGAGATTTTCATTTCAACTTCAGATTTATTTTCAGAGCAGCTGCTGCAGGAACGCAGCACAACCTTCTGCTCATCTTCTCTGTGACACCGTTTCACACTCACGTAAATGTAACAGGCAACGATGGAGACGTTCTTGAAATCCAGCGCAGCGTCGATCTCGTCCATAAAGTAGAGTGGTGTGGGTTTGTAGTGGTGCAGAGCAAACACCAAAGCTAGGGAGCTCAACGTCTTCTCTCCTCCTGACAGATTGAAGATCTTCTTCCAGCTCTTCTTTGGAGGACGAACGCTGTAAGTAAGATGGAAAAAAAAGGAGCAGAAAGACAACTTTAAAGCCTTTAGAAAAAATCCAGTCTAATCCATTTACTTTCTTAACAGAATTGAGTCAATTAGTCCATAAATAGTTTTAGTCTCTACATTTATTCCTAATGAGATTATTAGAGTATTTTTCATGATACACACTCACATGCTGGTTTTTGTGACCACTTACACAGACATTCTCCAGCACCTCACTCTAACCTTCTAAATCCTAACCCTAATTCTAATCCTAACTCACAATGTCCCCAGCACTTGGCCAAAAAATGGCCCCAACAAGTACAGTTATACCACAACAACACACACAACAAAGAAAGCTGGGACACACAGCTGTATTTAACAACTAGTGTAACTCACCCAATACTAATCGGAAAACTCCACTAGAGGGAGCCCAAAAACCACTGGCAGCATGGGCTCCATAGTTTGAGAACCTCTGCTCTTAAGGATACCTTGAATGTTTCTCAGTGTGTTATTGATGCAGCTCTTCATTTGAACAAAAACATCTCTGAATTTAAATAACATCTGAGCTGTGCTGATAAAATATTTAATATTTATTTAAAATATTTGTACCTGAAATTGATGCCCTCAGAGAAAGGATCTAAGCTGTCCACCAGCTCCAGCTCTGCATCGCCACCAAGTGTCAGCATCTGGTAGTTTTCCTTCAGCTTGTTGGTGATCATGTTGAAGCCTGTCATGAACTCGTTGAGACGCTGTTTGCGCAGGTTCTCGGAGGCCAGCTTGAACTTGTCTCTCTCTGAGGTGATCTCGTCCAGCTGAGCAACACGCTGCAGGTACAGCTCCTCCTGAGAAACACACACACAGAGTTGAAGTTCATTTAAAGTTTTATATTCAAATCATTAGAGTTGAAAAGATCTGAATTCAGATGCTACCTTCTTTTTGTACTCAGCAATGGCTCCCAGGTTGGGCTTCATCTGAGCACACTGCGCCTCCAAGGTGATCATCTTGTTGATGATGACATTCGGGTCAGAGATTTCCTCCAGCTGAGCTGCAGAGTAAACAGGAAGTTCTTCTGCTGGTTTGTCTTCCATGCTGTGAAGAGACAACTTTGAAGCCTGTGAGATAAAAAAAACAACAAAGAAAAATCATCAACAGTCAGTGCACAGACTGAAAGACAAACAGAACCAGTCTATGTGACCACATCGTCACTAAATAACCTTCACCAAACGGTGAGTTTAATTACACACCGATTATTGTCATGAGTGGCAACAGTGCCCTGACAGATCCAGACCTCCTGGTTCTTCACTCACCTCTTTCTGCCAGTGTTTGATCTTATTGTTGTGTTCACAGATGCTGGCGTCGATCTGCTCCACCTTCAGACGGACGCTGAGCGACTGCTCCTGCAGCGCATGCTCCTGCTGCTGCAGGATCTTTATCTCCTTCAGCACACCCTGGTACTGTTCCTGCACCTCAGGAAGAGCAGTCTGGAGGAACAAAACTTTGTCAACGCCAATGCATGTACAATAGGTTCCACACATGGTCATTAGCAGTGATTAAGTAGCCACCCCTGGTTAATGCACTACTCTGGTACTGAAAATACAACTAGTTGGAGACAAATGTATTTCTCTATTGTCTAAATCTAAAAGACAAAAACATGTTAAATGTAAAATGTCAGTAGCTTTCTTAAATTCTGTTTCTGAGCGCTGCAGTGGATTTAGCCCCGCCTCCAAATGCTCTCATTGGTTGTGACACTTAACACCGGCCCTTTTTCAGAACGTGATCTTATCACAGATACTACTACTGCTACTACAGAGAGAAAGTTATCATCCACAAGGTGGAAGTTGTTCTGACCTCAGCCTCCTCACAGGCCTTCATGGTCTCCCCAGCTTCGTCCTCCAGTTTCTTCAGCTGTTCTGTGAGCTCCAGCATCAACTTCTCATTCTCCTCCAGCTCCTCCTGCACACGACTCACACTCTCCTCACTCTTCTTCAGGTTACTGCAGAGGACACATTGTTAGGAAATCTATCCACAGTGGTGGCTGTTACCTGTTTTTCCTTTTCCATAAAGTGAAAGTCAGACACCAGCTGCTCTGAGATGTTTACTCTTCTCATCTGCTGCAGGACGATTAAATTCTCCTGACCAACAGTTGGTGAATTAATCATTAGTCTCTGCTTCAGAGCTACAGTGATTAGTTCAATAATTAATTATTAAGACACCAAAAATTCAACAAATATTTTTCATCGAGTTTGTGTGTTACATTAGTTATGAATTGAGACACATTCTCTGGTTTCAGTATCTCGAGTGTGAATGTCAAATATTTTGGATTTCTAGACAAAAACATTGTGTGGTTGTGGACACACTGAAGGACATTTCCCATCACTGCAGTTCTATGTCCCCGCCCTGAGTCTTCTGTTGCATTACCGATCGGCCGTCTTTATGGCTACTTTGGCCTTGGTGATGGTGGACGAGCAGTCATCCAGCTCTTTGTTGATCTTGTCCAGCTTGTCCTGCTGAGCCTTTAGCTTGTGACTGTTGATGTCAACAATCAGGTTATGGAGTCTCTTCACCTCATTCTCCACTTTCCCTGCTTTGACAGAAGCTGCCTCATAGTCTGAGAAAGTCAAATGAGAAAAAGTGAGTTCAAAATTTGTTTCATTCCACCATTCATTCAATTCTCCACATGTTCTACTATGAAAATATGTTCTGTATCACAGTCATGATACAAACAGTAAATATGACTAAAATCCACCAACTCTATACAGCTAGATTTTTAGAATATTTTGAATTAGTCCCAAGTATGAGAGTAAGGAAAAAGGGATACACCAAAATATCGCAGTATTTCATTTCACAATATCATATTGATATTCAACATCACTATTTTTTAAACACAAATATTGATGGTGTTGGTTCATTTTATTTTGCTTTTTTAATTTTACTTTACTAGTGAATACAGATGTAGCTCCCTCTGTTCCAGCTTTAGTAACCTGATGTTAAGCATGGAACAGCACGATTTATTATGTTGTTTTCCTACAGTTAAATTGTAAAAGAAAAACCCACATTTTCATGCCTATAGCATTGCAGCAAACATCATATCATTGTCCCTAAGTTGTGTCATGTATCGTATCACCTGATTGTTGCCAAAACACCACTAGTCTTGGGTAAAGGCAAATGTGAAACACAGACCTGCCATCATATATATGTAAATATACAATCATGATTAATCCACCCTTTGATTAATTAGTTTAAAGTGTTAACTTGACTGATGGCCCTTAGAGGAGCCCACCTTTCTTGAAGGCTTCCAGGCTCTTCTCCAGTTGCTTCTGCTTGGCTTTGTCTGGGGCGGCTGCCAGAACATTGGCCTCCAGTTCCTTTATCTGAAGTTTCAGATGAGCCTCCTGATCAGCAAGACTCTGAAGAGAGAACAGAGAACAATTCTCTGTGACACACTTGCACGTGTTGATTCAAATTCAAACAACTTTATATGAAGTGTTTCTGACGTACAGTCATGCTTTTGGTGTATTTTTCCAGGGTGTTCTTCATGTCTCGGAGCTGCGGCTGCAGACGCTGAACCGTCTCCTCCAGCTGCAGCTTCTTCTCCTGGCACCTCTGGAGTTTGGACACCTTCTCGTTCAGCTTGCTCTCCATATGATCGAGCTGTATGCAACATGTGAAAACCATCATGTCAAGTACAGTGCTGCGGTGCTCTGACAGAGGAGCGTTTGAATCCCCAGCTCACAGCAGCTTCTGGTTCACAGCAGGATTCAGATACAAGCTTGAT